CCCACTGTTTCACAAAGGAGTCTCGATGACTTTACAAACACCATCATCCCCACTCCTGAAAGCCCATTCACAGAACATTTCAAAGAACTGACTGCTCTGAGATCCTACTGGTATCAAATGCTTCCCAGAGCAGGATAAGAGGAGCACAAGTCAGCCCTTACACAGCTCATCTACTGGGGTCAGGGTGTTCAGGGAAAGACTGGCAGGTCTTCACTGCTACTTAAAGGGCAACTCTGCACAAAACAGAGGAAGCAGACTGATGAGAACAGATGTGGCACACTTTTTCCAGACATCATCAGAGGGGGACTCCCTCTTTAAAGTCAGCCTGGTCAAATGTTGCCACAACTCCCACTGCCCTGGCTATGGGGTCCCTGCTCTGACCAGCACCAGAAACCATCGAGCCCAAGCAGGAGCTGTCAGGACCCAAAACAGAGAGGAAAAAACTCCCCACACCATCGGTAACTTTCAAATAACAAAAAAAAAATAAAGCTAAACTGCTCTAACTCTGTTGTTGGATGCCCCCAAAACAGGGGCACCAGGCTGCCTAGAAAATTCCACCGTGGTTGTCAACTTTAAGTGAGGTATACAGGCATGGAGAGGGAGGATCAGGAATTAAATCCACTGACTTCATGCCTGAAAGCTTGTTTGTTGTTGTTTTTTTTTTTTTTTCCTCTACAAGTCCTTCTTCAGTAAATGCAGCTAAAAAAAAAAAAAAAAAGTACATCTCCCTGCAAACCTTGTCCTGCTTGTCTATCCTTAAATCATTCCAGCTACAAATCCTTCTGTCCTTTAGGAGCAGTGACTGGATGCATAAGGGTCACAGTAGCCTTGTTAAAATACTGGAAAACTGTCCTGGAAGTAGTAACTGGAACCGAGGCGGCTCTCTGCCAGGCAAGAATTATTCACACCTCTTGCTTGCTCTCCTGAATTCTACATTCCAAAACATCCTCAAAAGCAGGGAAAAGCGAGCCCCTGCACAGGAGCTGCTCATCGTTAAGGACAGGTCGCTCTCCAGGGAAGTGCAAGGCAAGTTCACTTCCCCTCCACAGCCAAAGGAGGCTCAAAGTTGCTTCCTGGCTGATGGGTAAGAGGATGTGCCCCCTGGATGGGTAGTTCTTTGAAAGGAAGGAGAAAGGTGAGCTCCAGGAATCCTGAAAAAAGCAGGATTAGCATCATTCCTGTACCTCGTTTCCTGCTAGCTAGCTCTAGGCAGCTGTCTGCTGGCCTGAAGAACGCCCTCATTAAAGCACACAGGATATTCCAACACGTTATCTGACATTGAATCAGGAATTCCAGCCAGGAATCCTGCCTTGGGTGCTACTGCACCTCAGGTATTTTTGACTTGAGCCAAACTTGGGAGATTTTTCTGATGCCACCTGGCACTTTGTTGCCTGCTGTTGCTCTCTGGGCACTCCAGAGTTACAGCACAGGATCCAAAGCTCAAAAATGGATAAAAAACATGTGGCAGTAGAGATGAACATCAAACGGCCACCTCTGATCAATAGGTGACAAATTCCCTGATGTCACACTGGTGGGGATGAAAGCATATTATCTCTCTGACTCCAGAGCTTAGACTGGTCAGAGTGGAGCTGCTCTCAGAGCCAGAGTATCTTCTGAGCGCCCCAGGAGCTGCACATACAGTTAGCAGATAAGAAATTAGGACCCTTGCCAACAATAAGGAAAAAAAAAAGGGATGTTTTGAATTCTGAAGCCTTCAGTCTTCCTTTGAATGTGTACACTGAACTGCTGCCACACCACATGAAGAGACCTATTCCCTCATAAAACTCCTTAAATCACTGGATATTTGGAGATATTCTAGCACACAGAAATGCATCTGACTGCCTACCCAGTCACCTTCCCCTGGGAAGCAGGGAATTCTTTTAGGAGGGAGAGGAACACTTAAAGGCCCCATGCCTGAACACCCTCATGCTGGTTCCATCACCTCTCTGTTCCCAGGATATCCGTAAAGGTGTGTGAGCAATTTTGACAAACACAGAGGCTTCTGTCGCTGCTCTTTGCCCAGTCTCATTACAAACTGCCACCAGCAACAGCTGGAAAAACCTCACATCTGTCTGAGAGGTGCTGCTGCCTTCCAAAGCTTCGAGAAGGGCAGCAGAGCCCGGAATGAGACTTCACACTGGCACGGTCCCCGTGCTCTGCAGCCCTCGCTGGGCACGACACGCTTGCAACACGTGGGAAAGCACAGGGGTCAAAACACGACCCAGGTCCACTCAAAGCACAGATCTCACAGCCCACACGGCTGCAGAAAGAGCCACACAACATCAGGCAACCTTCCTTGGAGCTGCAGCTACCAACTGGGCTCCAGGAGGTAACCAGTACAGCGTTGTCAACTCAGCAGTAAGTGCCGTAGGGCTCGGAACAGCCCACCCAGGGCTTGGCTTCCCTCTACAAGCTTGAAGAGCCCAGGAAAGTGGTGCATTTGCCTCATTTCACGAGGACAGCTGCCAAAATAAACTAAGAGGGCACCTTCAGAAGAAGAAAGTATGATAGTCCTAACCAGCAGGAAGAAGTTCTGGGGATGGGGATTTTCTGAAGAGCTGCACTGGTACGTGCCAGGAACTTTTTTGCCCTGTAGCAGAGGATGTTCAGAGCAGCAGAACATACTGCAGAAGCTGCTGGAATTTCCAGCTAGGAGCACAGTATTTACCCTCCCATCAATTTGAGGATTTCTACATAGGTCATTGAGTTTCCATTTGAGCACTGAAGCTGAGAAGCAGATCTCTTCTCTACAAGACCCCTGCATGGCACCCTTCTGCCCTGTACACACACAAAGCACTTAGGGTAGACGTAGAAAAGACCAATCCTTCTCCTGGTGCTGCACGACACTCTTTATCCTTGACAGCAGAGGGATTTTTCACAAGTCTCACCTCCAGGAAAGTGGAAACAGAGGCTGGCAAACAGCTTGTGATCCCATTCCAACAAAGGCAAAGCAGAGGGAGGCTAAGCCCAGTGAGTCCTTCAGTTCAGACAGATGGCCAGCTACAGAACAAAGCACCTGCAAACTTGCCAAGGGCTACAGAACAAAGCACCTGCAAACTTGCCAAGGGCTACATCCCAACCTAATCTGGCTCCCTACAACCGCAGCAGCCACGCTCCGCTTGCTTCAAAGGGCAACGGAAGTTAATCCCAGGGCACTGGCCAACTGTGTTATGTTGCACAGAGGGCACAGGGAAAGGAGAGTCCCTCCTGACCACTACAGGCCACTGGTTCAGTTGTGCCAACTTCTTATCAGCTTTGGTGAGAGGTCTGTGCAGCCCCCTGCCGTGACGGGGCCGTAAAACACGCACCTTCCCGCTGCTCGTTTGTCAGTTGCTCTTTGGGGAACTCCACATCAAATGTTATTATTAGTGAGCCTTTGATATTATTGTTGTCAAAATTTGGAAGACCTTCTCCTTTCTTCCAGAGTTTGGCCCCGGGTTTCGTAATTTTATCCCGAGCAACATGGACCTAGAGACAAGAGAAACGTCACATTACTAGTGTCCTGTGTGCACACCCCAGCACCCTTTCCAACCCACTGAAAAGCTTCAGCTGATATTAATTCCTTGCCAAAGTGAGTGATATTCAAGGGGGCCACGCAGCATTACTGCCAGGACACGTGCCAGAACCAACTGCAGCTGCTGTGCCAGCCTGGAACGGGGAGACACACTGCACATCCCTTGTACAGGGCCTGTTTGGACTCCAGGAGAATTGGCCTGGAAGGCTCCAAGAAAGCTAAGCCCCAGCACAGGAGACCTGCAGTTAAATTCCACAGCAAGAAAGCAAACCCTTTGGCTCACCTTGTGCCCATCCAAGTGGGTGATATCCATTTCAAAGCCTGTAAGTGCCTCGACCAGCGAGATGGTGACATTTGTATACAAGTCATCTCCTCTTCTTTCAAAGACTGGGTGCCTGTGGAAATAAGAGACGTTGGAACTTTTCTTCTCCTTCCCCACAGGGGAAACAGGTCCTCAGGCTTCCTCCCCTCTCCTTGTGAGTTTGGAGGATTCACAAATCAGAGAGGAAGTGAAGAATGAACAAAATTTAGCTTCGTTTTCCTGTGTGAGATACGTCCTACTAATAACCTTTCTATTTTCAGGGCAATGAGTGGTGAGGCGTGTCAAGAAGTTGTGACTCACACGCCAATTTTCTTAGTAGCACGTTTCCTTACAAGAGGGAGATAGTATGCTTATGGAAAAAGGAGATATTCCATGTGATTCACGCAGCAGCTACTAATGTGTCCCAGAATTCAAGCCAAACGAGATAAAAGGGGAATTATCACAGCATCTTAACAGTGGTGAAGCCAGCTCCTCTGGCATCATCAGCATCCAACATCCTGCACAGCCCTCGGAACCAGACTCTTGGCTGCACTAACTCTGCTGAAGGGTAAGCTACGTGCTAGCCAAGTGGCCAACACTGGCTTGCAAGCTTCCTTCACGGTAACCAGAACGAGTGGTCCGAGTCAGTCACTTACTTTAAAACTTTTATTCGGAAACGCAAGTCACCTGGCTCCCCATCCACGTGGGGTTCACCTGTGGAAAAAGAAGGAAAAGCTCTGTTCAAAGCAGCTAATTAGCAACAACTGAAGAAACAAGCAGCAGATTAAACACAAAGGAGATCTGCAGCTCACATGTTAAAGGGAAAAACTAACTCGCTGATCTTTACATCATTAGAACCCTGCTTACGCACATTTTTGTAAAAAGCCCAGGACTTTTTGAGTATTGCCTCAGTTTCCTCCTATCTCTGCTGTTCTGAGACACTTGCCTGCATGTTAGTGACATCCTGTACTTGTTGAAGGACTTCATCTCCTTGGGCAGAGGGGATTCCCTCGCATACTCAAGCCTGGAACAGATGCTCCTACTCAAAAGTCATCTGAAACATCAGATTCAGAGCTGGGTGGGTTTTTTTTGTGGACTCCAGGACCAACAAAGGGAGTGGAAGTCAGAGGGTCATCCAGGCTTAGCAAAGAGTAGCTCCTGGATTTCGGCAGCATGGAGAGGACACAGCACTTCAAACCATGGGTGCTGATCAGTTACCAAAAGCAGGGCTTGGGTGCTTTCACTGAGTCATGGAAAAGCAGCACATCAAAGCTGAGGAGCAGAGCAGCACCCATATACATACCTTCTCCAATGAAGGGATACTCCATACCATCCCTCACGCCTGGCTCTATCTCCACTTCGAGTGTTCGCTCCTCGTTCACAAGCCTGCGAAGGGGAAGAGGAAGCAAGCTCTAAGTTTTCAACCACAGGTGGTAGCTCCTTACTGGGGTAATGGGAACACCCCTCCAAGTTAACACTGCTCCTTCTCCTTGCTCTAAAACTAGAGAGTGAGTATTGCCTTTCTTGTGTGTTGATACTCATCTGGTAGAGAAGGCAACATCAAGCTCCTAAATGCACACTCAGCATCTGGATATGCGACTACAACGCAGTATTCCATGTCCCAGTTGATCCCAGCTGGAAACTGTGGGCTTCCCTGAGTTTGCTTATTCAGATTTACTTGTGGAACTTCCACTGTAGTATGCCTGTTCAAGGAATAAGAGGCTGAAAGAGCAAAATGGAGAGCTCTACATCTGATAGAGCTGGCCATCTCCACTGTAAGAATAAAGACTGGCTCCTTGGAAGTGAGAAACCCTGTGTCAAGTTTTTTCCTAAATTCCCCAGGTCCTACTGGTAGTACAGGCACTTTTCTCCATCTAGTGGCAGGTTTTGAATAAACATCCATGTAGCAATGAAGAGCTTAAAACTCACTTGACGTTGGGACATTCATCACAAACAACTTCTTGAGTCATCTGGAAACGGCCAGGACCCAGCTGGGTGGTCCTCATCTCCTGCCGGCAATTGCATTTCCGTTTGCCCGGTGCCTGTCTTGCCACTGGCTTGTTCCTGACAACCTGCATGGAAGAGGAAGAGGGTGACACCAGCACTCTTGGCTCTCTACAAGGGTCTGGATTTCTCAAACAGCCTAAACAGAGTGGTGTGTTTGGTTTGTTTTTTTTTTTAAAAAAAAATGCACTTTCTGCTGCCTCCACAGTAGCTCCACATGATCTTGGCAAAACATGACTGGTAAGTTTTCACCTTTCACCTCTTGCTGACCACACATTAAATACCAAAACATCAGGAAAAACCCTGTCTCTGATACAACTAGTACCATTTTCTTACTCTTTCTAGCACATCTTTCTAAATAGGAAAGGTAACACTAGGATGACACACCTGACACCTCTGGTTACGACAGCTTGCTCGTTCCATCCAATGGGCAAAATTATTTTATTATTATTTATTACCCAGAGACTCACAACTCAGACTCAATCAATGCAAGTTTTAACATGCAGAATAGCAAGGCTTATCAGCATCAGAAATATAGCTTGCTTAAACAGAAAAAAAGCTATATTTCTGCAGATTTCTGGCTTACATATTTGGCAAACGTGCAGTGGCCAGACCAGACATCTCAAACCCGAGAAGATACTGGAGAGACCGACAAGCAAGTGGTCAAACTTACTTCTACGAAGTTTCCTGAATACACCTCTTCCAGTGTGACCTCCAGGTCCACGATGATGTCGCTTCCTCGGGGAATGTTCCTGTCTTGTTGGCGAGGGTTACCTCCAAACATGAATCCAAAGTCCCCAAAGAAGCTGGAGTAAAGCACATCGATTAGTTCAGGGAGGCATTGGGATCGAACAAGGCTTTGCTGAAGAGAGACACCCGAGGCAGCAGCAACGTGCTGCTTGGTGGCTGCTTCTGGTCTCCTAGAGAACAACCTCCTCGCAGCACAAAAGCACTGCAGTAAATCCAGATACTACTTGTTGCTCCTTGAGGACACAAGATAACGCCTTCGAACAAAGCAGGCACTTAGGAAGAGTTTTCTGTGCTCCAGAAAACAAGTTTTGGAGCAGGAGTTGAACACCAACACCTTACAACCTGACCAGTGCCTCAAGGAAGTCCTCTCCACACTGCACTGCTGCTCAGCTCCCACCACCAAGGTACAAACTCTGAGTAGTGCCCCATCTCTAGCACTGCAGGTCAATGCTAGCAGGCTGGTTTTCAGTAGTTTGAGGACAAGGAGTGTGAGGAAAAAAAAACAAAACTCTAGCAGGTCTGCATGTTTTTCCTCAAAACAGACCAGCAGACTCTGCAAGTTCTCACCCAGAAGGATTACATGAGATGAGAAATTTCAGGAATTATTTCAGTAAATTTGTGCCTAGCAGAACCAAAGGAGCCTTAAACAAAGAGAAGATCAGGTTCTGCCTGAGTAACATGCAAATGTTTTCAGGTTTTACTGATCCAAATCCTACAGTTGCTCTGAAATGTAGTTGCATGGGGTCTGTGTGGTGGGCTTTCAGTGGCAGAGGAGAGGCTACAGGGGTGGCTCCTGCAAGAAGCTGCCAGAATTTTCTCCAGCTCCAAGATGGAAAGCCCATCAGCGCCAGTGGGAGGTCCTCTGTGATAACATATTTAAGAAGGTAAAAAAAAAACCCCAAACTGCTGAGGAACCTGCAGCAGGTAAGTGGGATGTGAGAGAAACAACTCTGCAGGCACCAAGGTCAGTAAAGACAGAGCAGGTGGAGGTGAAGACCTGTGGCCATGGAGAACCCCACACCGGAGCAGGTGGCTGTGCCTGAAGAAGACTGTGACTCCATGGGAAGTCCACACTGGAGCAGTCTGTTGGTGAAGGAGTGCACCCTGTGGGAGGGATCCATGCTGGAGCAGGGGAGGAGTGTGAGGAAACCTCCGAGGAGGAGGCAGGAACATGTGATGAACCAACTGCAACCCCCATTTCCCATCCCCCTGCACCACTGCAAGGAGGAGGCAGAGAAATCAGGAGCAAAGCTTAGCCCAGGAAGAAAGGAGGGGTGGGGGGAAGGTGTTTTTACGGTTTTGGTTTTATTTCTCATTATCCTACTCTGATTTGACTGGTAACAAATTAAATTGATTTTTTCCCCCCAGCCGAGACTGTTTTGCCCGTGACCATAACTGGTGGGTGATCCCTCCCTGTCCTTGTCTTGACCCTCAAGCCTTTACTTACATTTTCTCCTCCCCATCCTACCCTGGTGGGAGGAGTGAGCAAGCAGCCACCTGATGCTTGGTTGCCAGCTGGGTCTAAGTCACCACAAAGTCACCACAGCGTTACTTTGCAAGAGAAAAAGTGACCTCCAAAGCACACACGTGATCCAGGACAACAAGTTAAACATCAGTCACACGCTGGAGAACACAAGAATGTTCCTACACGTTCAATGCACCTGCAGCACCTTACAAGTCACCCATGTTGGTGACCCAGTTGGTGCCAAGTGAGTAAGAGTTGTCCATGTACACCCTTCCAGTACATAAAGGGGGCCTACAAGAAACCTGGAGAGGGACTTTTTACAAGGGTGTGTAGTGACAGGACACGGGGCAATGGATTTAAGCTGGAAGAGAGGAGATTTAGATTGGATATAAGGAAGAAATTTTTCACTCTGAGGGTGGTGAGGCACTGGCACAAGTTGCCCAGAGAAGCTGTGGCTGCCCCATCCCTGGAAGTGTTCAAGGCCAGGTTGGATGAGGCTTTGAGCAACCTGGTGTAGTGGAGGGTGTCCCTGCCCATGGCAGGGGGGTTGGAACTAGATGATCTTTGAGGTCCCTTCCAACCCAAACCATTCTGTGATCCATGTGGAAAGACATCACTGGTTCCTACTCACTGCCCTTAGAGAAAGGACCAGTGCAAGAGAGACAACCAAAAACTGCACATGGGATACCCCTTGTAAATGTGTTCCTTCAAATTCTCAACTTTCACTCCAAATCAGTGCTTCCTGATTCGATAAAAGACCTTAGAACTCACCCACATCCAACGCATGCATGGACGTCCCAAAATTAAAGCTCCAACTACAGAACAGCCCTAAAAGTGGCAAAACCTCCTTACTGAGAAAAGATGTCTCCATGGGAGCTCTGGTGGCCATCCTTCAATCCCTCCTCACCATAGGCATCGTACTGCTTCCTCTTCTCCTCATCCGACAGCACCTGGAAAAAGGGAAGCAAACAGACCAGACATTCACTCCCGGCTGAACTGGGTTACTGGGACACAGCGCAGAGGACGCTCACCACTGCTCTTCTCTGGGGGCCAAGCAGCAAAGTTTTCTGTTACTGGTCAGAACTCGCTCGCTGCACTGGACTAGAAAAATTAAAGGGAATAATTCGAATCGGTAAGTTCGAATCATAATTCAGAATTATGGAAACCAGCCCGGAATTGTAACCAGTAATAAATGCAACGAGGAGAAAAACCAACAGTGACTTTAATAGCTTCATCCTGTAGATAAGAGTTCAAGTCTCCCTTTGTCACTTCAGATTCTGCATGGAAACACACATTTCCTGAAAAACTGAGACGAGCTTTCCATTTTGTGATCTGTTGGATCAAAATTCTGTCAGTAGAGTACACTGGTACTGGACTGGTGATACCACGAGCAATAAGAAAAGAATTAAGAAGGCGAAATATTTGCCTTTCCATTGATTTTTTTTCCTTTCTGCAGTCTTTGGGAGAACACTACAGTGAGGAGTTCTTGTTTGTTATGTTCAGCCTGGAGAAG